CTATTTGTGGGTTCTATTCTCTTTCTCAGAAGCTCAAATTTATAAGATCAGAGGCTCTTCAATCGTGAATGGTGTGGCTATCTATTGGCTTCTCAATTATTGCGTTTATTTACTTCCGGAAACGACTAACCTATAAGTCAATAACTCACGAACGTGTGATTATCGTTCAGAGAGACTATAACTACTAATAATTTTAATTAAATGTCTAATATAACTCAAATTATTTGTATATAGTTTTAATGAAAGGAATTATATTTTACGAGATTTATATCCGGGGAGTTCTCTGACTAATTGGTTGTTGGTTATTAACAAGTATTGTCATACTGCTTGGGTATAACAATTTTCATTCTTATTGACGTATTATACAAAGTCAACTGTGTATAACACAAGATATAATTATTAAATAATGCAACAAGATTTGAAAAGCAATTACAGGTCTTAAAACTGCTTGTCAAGCGAAAATCCTTGAGATGAACTGATCGTAGCCACTTACTGATTTAAGTTTAATCTTTCGGTCATCAAAAACTGATACATTTATACTACTCAAGTAACTATCACAACACAAGGGCACACTACACTTAAAAGGCATGCTTGTCGAAGTAAAAACGGTCAAAAAATCTTCAAAGTATATATGCAATTGAATGTAATTCATAACACACCGTGATTTTTACACTACCTACTCTGATGGAAATATGAAAACGTAACGGTCGGAGTTGGCCCAGATTTGATGATGTCACACGTCTCTTCCGAGTTAATGCCGAGACCTTCTCTATAGGCGATGTTGGCGGAGATCCGAGGTGGACAGATGACTGTTTACTTGTTTTTTAGATTTTCAATTTTTTTGAAAGTGAAATTCATTGATATTGTATACCATGCGTTTTTGTTTAAAATATGATGCTATTACAAGTATTACCTAGAATTTGAGTTATCAAAACGTTTTATGCAGTGAATAAAAACAATTCTGGAGTATTCGGGAATATTCAGAATGAAGTTTGGAAATTATTGTAGTATTTTTTTAAGTCACAGTATCATACACCGTCGCTAAAAACCTTTCTATGTCAAGAAAATACATCGGTCTATACTTGACATAAAGATGTTGTAGGTGTTGGAAATGACATTATTAGTTGTTATATCAATTTATGCATTTATGAAATCATCGTCAAGAATCTTAAAAAATCAAATTAAGCTGAGGTCTCCGGAGCCACCCCTCCCCCTTGGTCGCGCACAGGTTCATTTTCCACTTTATGTAGCTAGGATCAATCTGTTTTTTTATTTTTTACATTTTCTCATCAAGGTAAGCAAGTGCTTTATAAGAGAACTGCATCTTAAATCCCGCAGCTCTAAGTCACAAACAGGAGACCGAGGATACACCCACTTGAGACCTCAATAATCAATAGTTATTGTATGCGATGACAATGAGAAAATATGGGTACATGTTACAATTATAGAAAGAAATAAGTTACGGAAAGTAAGTTTTTTAAATAATTCGTATCTCTTTAGGGAGGTTTAAATTTATCTTTTGGGAATATAGATTTGATTCTTCGGCGTTGGTTATAGGTTTTTCCAAGGTTGAATATGGAAGTTTGTCGGGGAAGATGATAATACTTCATTGGTGTCTGATATAATGATCTATCGTGTACAAAACAAATTCTCTATTGATTTGCTTGTTTGATACGTACCAAGAAGCTTGGACAGCAATGCGAAGGATTTGATTTTGGAATGTTTGGAGGGTTTTACGTACTGAAGGGGCATCTCGTCCCCTAGTTGGTTTTTGGGCGGTCGGAAGCGGCCTGGCCCTGGGCCAAAAGGCGCAGAGGCGACCACGTCCGCGCGACCCGCAGCCCTACGTCTACTCCTAGCCCTATGTACCTTTTTGGTCCCTTTTCATCGACACAGAGAAGGGTCCTGCGAGACTTGATGTAATACAAAGAAAGGTTTCATTAGGCCGTCTACACGCCGCGAGCAATTACACTACGTATTCGGCTGGTGAGCGAAAGAAATGATTTACTGATTTGTTAAAAAATTATTTGTGTTGCAGTGAAATCATGCTATTTTTAATAATAGTGATAATCCAATTTGGCATAAACAAAATTGATGTTAAGATACCCGCACTCTTTGTATTGTTCCTTAATACTGCCAGTTATGTGTTTAAGAATTTGCTGTTTGGTTATTAGCTATACTAGCTGTATTGTGCTTCTCTGCTGGTAAAAATATTGTATATTTTTGTAAAGTGCTACTGTAACTAAAACGTAGTTTCTGTAACGTTCCTCAAATAACTTCAACTTTTTCGCCTACTTCTTTCGTGCTTTCTTCCGCTTTTGTTCTCTTCCATCTCCCTTCACAACACTTTATCATTTATGACTTTGTTGACCCTTTCCCCTGTAATCGTCTTTCTTTTGTCTTTCACGAAACTTCCCTTTCACTAGCTTACTCGGTATATACCATACTCAGTCTATGAATTTCAGCTCTGAAGCCGCCATCCTGATTTGAGGTTCTGTCTGGGTTTACTCAATCGCTCAAGGCGTATGCGGGCATGGTCCTAGTTTTGGTCCTCCATCAGACGTAAATGTACAGCTTCTTCCCCTCTTAAATGGTTAACTATTTCTAATGTATGATAAATTCAGTGGGTTAGGCGGAAGAGCAGGGCCTATGGCCTTGAGACCTCGCCATTAATAAGAGCACAATTAATTATATATTATTATTATTATTATTATTAATCCAACAATGAATCTAAATAGGCAAGTGTATTTCTTTCCGTTTGTAAAGTGTCAGTGCGTCTTCCCCTGGTGATCAAGGGCGCCATCGACAATTTTGTGTATAAACAGGTGACTCCGGTTATAGCGAACGTCTGGAGACGAACATTTTACGTTCACTTGACGCCCTTCAATGCCTCTTGCATTGTAGTAACGTTTTATTTGTAACATCACACATCAGTGAAGGCTCCGTTCGGTGACCACTACCTTACCTCAGGGGAGATTTCTTCAATGATGAGCTTTGGCCGATGATATTTTTTCCAGCCTGCCTGCTTTTGGAATTTGTGGCCCTAAGGCGATATTTTTTCCAGGAAGGAATTCATCTCCAGGATGGACTTGCTACGTCCACTATAGCCGAGATTCAGAGTTCACTATAATCGAATCTTGCTGTGCTTATATGTAAGTGAGTTAAATGACAGTATATCTGAGTTCATTATAACCGGTGTCGAGTGTATCACTGTCTATTGAAAATTAAACTGCAAGCTTATTTACACTGAACAGTTCGAAATCAGAGGTTTACAGTGCGTCTTCTGTCAAAACGATACTTTCTTGTGTAATACATAAGGCCTAAAGACTATCCTACACTATCGTACATTTACAATCAATCTGAGAGAGAAGTTGCCAGGGACCTGAAAGAATGTCTCACTTTTTGAACATAGAGGTACTATGTTGTAAAATATATTCACTTCCAAATTAAAAATGGATCATATTTCTATTTAAACAAAATTCAAATTGATTGATAATGCTATTTGAATTTTGAATTTGAATTTGAATTTGAATTTCAAGATCTACGTAGTACTAAACTGAGCATATTCTTCTTTCAGTTCGGACAACACAGTTGGAGCCATTAAAATAGTAAGTAGCGCCGTAATCGTTTTTTAAAATTTTTTCCCTTGCGAACAAAATTGCTACACGTCCGAAAAAAACGAAATCAAAACTTCCTCGTACATGCTGTCCATCCAGTTCGCCTCCGCGTATTTCCGACTTGATTGTCTCTGACGAGTGCGCAGTTGAAATGAGGAAGCGTCAAGACCTTTTGTGAAGACTGTAGGAAACACTTTCATCGCAATGAAATGGAGACAACGAAATGACTGCGTAAAACGCATTTTCTCATTCAGTTTCGATAACGAGAGGGTAAAGACTGCATACGGGTGTCACATTTACTTTCTGTACTTCCGAAGGACGACAAGTGGGCCATGTGAAGCGGAAGCAGTGGGATAAGATTGTTGCGTTAGGGCCTAGTAAAAAGGGATTGTGTCCAAAGAGAGAGGATGGGAAGGGATTGGGAATAGTTAAGTGGGGTAATGGAATTTTTTGCCATCTCCTCAGATACTCCTCAACGTCCCAGTGTGAATGATTCATACTCTCACACACAGACCTCACGCAAACAGGAAATGCCTTTCAAGATAATGGACTTCAGGGAGACTTCATGTTTAGTTTTAAAATGACGGAAAGATTATTTCCAAAATACTCAGAAAGAAAATATATTTTTCTAATTGGAAGTAAGGTATATTTTTAAATTTTCTTCAACTTTTATTACACTGATGAAATTATTCTTGAATTAGTCACACCGTGAAATGATACTTGTGTATCGCTATTTATATTTTTGTCATGTTTTTGCATGACAAGAGGGTTCTTGCGTTTAAAACTTCACCGTTCAGAACTTGAACCACATTGCATTTCCGAACAAAGAATTGTCCGTCATATGCTTGCCTTCTTTTGGTTATTGTGGATTTTCTCATGCTACACCTTTTTCCTACGTCAATTTGTTAATCGTACTCTCAAGTGTAGCGTAGTTAATTTTAGGTATAGTAATTTCAGTTCTATCATTTTAAAACCATCAAAGTTTATCGATTGATTCAACAAGTAATTTTTGAAAATCATTGCACTTCATTCCATTATCAATCAATTTGTTTGGATAAAATATTTTCATTGATTTAATTACATCTTTTACTTTAGATGAGTCGAATTTTCTAAGCAACGTTTACTTCAACTTGTGTTGTTTTTTTTCTAATGACAAACTCGAAAGGCATGCAGACTAAACTCTCAATTATATGCCCGATTTGAGTGTAGGAGATCGGAATCCAACACAGTGGTGATTCATCTGTGTATAATTTGCCCTCTGTGAGTTCACCGTTTAGCGGAGATTGAGAAGCGGGCAGAAGTCGACAGGCGAGTGCAATCGTGCAATCGCAGCCTCTGCCTTTCCATCTCCACCTCGTCATCTTTCCCCTGGTCTTTCTCTACGCGCGCGGGGCCCGTCCGCTTCCTCAGCCGCCGCCGCCGCCGCCGCGTCGGCGTCCGCCGCGTCCGTCTCTACCGTCTCGCCGCCGTACATGGCCGCAGAGCGTTGCGCGGCGCGCCAGCAGGCCGGCCGGCCGCCGTCCGTCCGGCCGGCCAGCCAGCCTGCACAACGGCCACACGATGGATTCTCAGAAAACAAAACACACACATGTGGCAGGTTTTTAGCGCGTTCGCTGCTCGAGGAGAAGTGTTTATAAAGTATCTGCTGCAGCTACTGCAGTCGCGGCCCGTAAGCTGGCGAGTACGTCTGCTGCAAGTTGCTCGTTACGGTAGCGCGATGTACCGTATTATGAGTTCGCCATAACTCGCCTGGCCTGGCCTGGCCTCGCCTCGCCTCGACGCGCCCGCGACATGGCTAGACCTGCGCGGCCTCCTATTTCACAGAGCGAGATGGCCGCCGGACGAGCGCCGTCCGGTCGAGCGCGCGCGCGCTCGCAGTTTCGCTACTTTCTTCGAAGTCGCGCTGTGCGCGGGTGCGGCCGTTGCTCGAGACGAGAGCCTCGCTGGCGGCTCGCGTGTCAACAGGCCCGAAGGGCACGGGGCCAGGGCTCCCAGACGTTAAAGGCCCCTGACTCTTCTTAAAAAACGTATAATTCTAAAGTGTTCAAAGCATAAAATAAAAAAATAAAAACAAAGTGATGTATGATTAAACCATACCGAAAACAATTAGCAAAATGAAGTGATGCATCGCTCATCATTAGTTACTATTTTTAATGTGGTATGTTGCAAGTTGATGCGCGAATGGCACACAGGGTTGAGAAGTATTTTTATTGTTTTTTTAACAGAACTTGTCTTTAAATAGGGGGGAGGGAGGAGATCGATGAAACTAACAGTAGGGGGAGCCCCCAAATTAACATAGGAGGCCCAAAATCTGTTAAAACAACCCTGCATATCAACATAAATTGAGGTTTGTGGTATTGATGTGGGTTACGAGCGATTTACTTACACATTCTGGCCAATGTAATGCATTTTCCCCAAAGTGTTTCCTTTCTGGACTTACTTCCGCCAAACTGACCAGTTTGTATGGAGGTTGAGTTTACTAAAAAATGTTTTTGAACAAATAGAAATTCTGATTTCAATTTTTTATGGATTTTTGTCGGTCTTTTTTGAATGCTAAAACTATGATGGCAATGCCTACGATACACTGCGTAGCTACGTATACTGACGATACAATGCATAGTTTTATAATGGTGGACATGGGTTCATTGTGAAAGATTGAAATGTATTAATCTTAATCACCACGATATATTTTTATGTTGCTCTCATATTTCATATAAGAATAAACTTTTTGCTTCATGTCAAATTGTGTTGGACTCTTTCCTTTTGCTAATAACTCTTAAACTGACTGGAACATTTTTTGTTATTTTACCAAAACTTTCAAAAGTATTTTCATATTTCAAATTTTCCATGTAGAAAGGTGTATTTTCATTCAAGATGACGATACGAAACTTTGAAAGATGGAGAAAAAACAACATACAAAGCCATTCGTAAGGAAATTTAAGATCTCCCCGGAATGAAAATGTATCTACAAAACCCCAAAAATTCACTAAATCATAAAACACAATGAGATGCAAGAATATACGGAGATAACTGACAGAATTTATTTTTATAATGGGACACTCAGTTTCATTCCTCAGTAAATTTTACAAATATACTCGTATTTTTTCTACATTACGTTTTCGCAAACTTGAGTGTGTAATTTGCCATTGGAAATTAATTCTATTGTACAGTAATAAATTATCGAATTTGAATGGTTATTAGTCAGTGGTTTTATTTTTATATACACGAAGTATTTTGAAAATTCGAAAAAATTTTTTTTGATCGTTCTGATATACATACCTTCCTGATTATTATTTCGAATAAAAGACGTTTTGTGATCATTTTGTTTATATTCTCTTTACAGTATCCCTAGGAAGACGAGGGTTTATAATTTCTTATGGGGCAAAGAGTATTATACTACTGCCCTGCGACTTAGTACGTATGTATGAAATGACTTTGTCTTCAATGTACTACTTAAAACGAACTTGAATATTGTGATTCAAAGTCACCGGGTTCCCCAAACGTACCAAAGATCAAAGTCAGAACAGAAGTTACTTCCGCAGATTTTCTTCCGATGCTTGTCTCCCAAGAAGCCTCATCTTCTCGCGCTGTTTTGAAATAAAACCTCGGAGTTCTATCAACTAAAAGCCGTTGTACTCGTATTTTACATGTTCTCTACATACGACGTACATAAAATATTTCGGGTCTTAAGGACCTCGTGCATATACCCAAATCTCTTGAGAAACGACACCTCTTCTAGAAGACTCTGTCTCTAAGAGAACCTACACATGTAATTCATAAAATATCAATGTTATAATAATTATTCTTATACCTTCTAATTAATTACCTAATCGGTTCTTGGAAGTAATATTAGTATAAAGTGCATAGGGTAAATTTAACAGTGTGCCCTTCTACATACAAAGCAAACATTTTCCTTAATTTTATGGATTTATCAAAATGTCATTTTAACGACTAATTGAAAATATTTTCTCATTGATGGAATACTTAATTTATTTATAGTGTTCATATACAAATTTTTTCCAATTGCCTAATAATCAGTCACCAATAAATCGGATTTGATTGATGAAGGAATACGTAGATGCTTAAAATGAATGTTTTTTCTTCTACTATTTCCCCGGTAGCCTGATCCAAATAGAATTTATCATGTTTGATAAACATAATCCATCGTAGTGGACGTTCGTAGTTTCGAGAAACTTGTTATTTTGAAGGAAGTCTGCAAAGTACCTTCTAATAGTGGGTTCTAAAAGCGTTGCATTAACGTGTAATATATCTTCCTGAACCCTATACGAATTATGTCGAAGCTTCAAAGCGGCTGAGGTGACTCAGAGCAACAACTTGCCACTGGAGCGTCTCTGACGGGAGGTTCTAGGGCTGTAGTGTCATGGCGAATAAGATAGGCGATATGATATGTAGATTTATTTATACATTATGAACAAGGATAGCATGGTTTGAAGTACAGAACATTTGATAGAGTTTCATTTGCTTGGTGTGAATTTGCGAAGAGTTCATTTGCTTGGTGCGAATTTGCGAAGAGTTTCATTCACTTGGTGCGAATGCGCCTGGTATCAAGAATACTCGAATTGTCACCCGCTTGGAACCTTCGCTTGTAAGCGGCCGCCGACTATCTTTTAATGAAAAGCCGAAATGAGTAACACGTTCTAACCCTCCGTGGCCAGTAAGATGACTTCAGCATCTGCCGTGTCTAGCCCACCCACCAAGCGGAAGGAGCGCGGTGGAAAGAAAAGACTGATCTTCCGACTTGAGATTGAGTAGGAGAGAGACTTGGATTTGCTAACTCTAAGCTTCCGAAACCGGAAACCAGAGGAAGGCAAAAGGCTGACTTTTGTCTCCAAACACGGACCGTTCCCCTGACCTGCTGATAGCACTTGTTGCAACTGCTTGCAAGCGGACATGGCTCCATGCTGATCGACTTCCGGTCGTTGGGGAATCCTCCCATTAAAAGATGAGAGTGCTATTGTCTGCAAAAGGACTCGAGTTCCGATGATGGCAAATTTTCGTCTCTAGCTAGATAGCTGGGTTGAATTCAGCCACTGTCAGGAGAATTCTAGCTGCCGTTTGCTGTGATCGGTAGTTTTACTTGTTTCCTCCCATCAATATCAAGCGAATGTCGAAGTATTATCCTAAGAAACAGGTCACGAACAGCCACGGCCATTCTATTCTCATCTTCCCATCTCCTCCCACACACACATGCTTATACTAACTGAAGTACCTGGCGTTGCCCGGGTATTTATCATACATAATACCGCGAGTGCTTCGAAAAATTCCCGAATCACGAAGGAAGGGATTAATCCGAGAATTTCCAGAGCACGAGAGGAATTTAATAGCACTATTCCACGAGTGAAATTATGCCCAACAGAGTTCCAAAATGCGCCACATATTGAAAATTTAAAGCGTATGTTAAAATCAGAGGTTATGTTATAGTACATACACTGTTTATTGGACATCGACATAGCAGTTGATGTATGCCATCTCCTAAGATCGATGAGTCACAGTTTATGATTGGCCAGTAGGAAGAAACGGTAAGAAAAATTGAATAGAATAAGCGATAAACTTTTTGATATGCACCGCCTTGATTGGGGTACTGTGTATGAATAGTTAAACACTATTGGTTTTAATGTCACGAGAGAAATAATCATAATAATTTATTAGACAGGAAGAGGAATTCAATCTAATCCCCGCCCAGAGGTGGGACCTACTTCTATCTATTCCATTGCCTCCCCGCGCCGCCCTGCCCCGCCCCCTCTGTATTGCATCCATCTGGAAATATCCAATCTTCCTCGCTAAAAAAATACATTTTTTTGCATGTTGGAGTTCCCGCCCGCAAACATCAGTCACTTCAAAACTGAACAAATAAAATTTATATACTCACGTATATTATTTTGTGAGGAATTTTGTATATTATACCAATACATTTAATCGATCTCCACATTGTAAAACTTACACATTTTCGAATATTTTTGTCACATATTTACAAAGAAAAAATTGAAATTGACCTTAAAGCGCCACGCCGATGCTATGTACGTTTAAATATAATTAAATAGCTTTTTATTGAAATGAAGCCCTCGTTTTAGGATTCTTGATAAATAGTGACTGACAGAATGGTGACATTAACTCCTTACACAATGATATCTCCCAAAATCCGAGATAACAGTGGATCCTGGCTTGACAAAAGGGTTGACCTTCTTCAGGCTTATAACATGACGATAATACACTTACGATAATAAGTGCAGTTGATGCGTCCTGAAGCAAAAAATAATAATCTATGGAAGCTCAGTGTGCCTGTGGCGGCTTGCGAGGTCACGCCGTGAGTGACTGACGTTACATCGTCCTGTGCTGATGCAACATCGCCCTGCAAAACTGCATTCCTGCTACTGGCGAGGTCGCCCGCGATCGCGATGCAAGACTGTAGTAATTCTCTCACCTCTTTTCCATCAGTTCTTTGCGAGATTCGTC